GCTGATAGGAGCAGACACCACTAACACCTGGGGAGAGGCTCCATCTATTGGTGGGGAGCGTCACCTGCTGGAAAACGGGTCCAGCGCCCATTTCCTGCGGCATAAATATCAAAATTATGCCGTTGCGCTTTTCCTTCTTTTGTTTTTTGTTTTTCTTAATTTAGGGCCAGATCCCACTGGCAAAGAGGATTGTAGTAAGTGTCTGAATGTGGACTTGTTTGTGGACAGATGCGAAAAATTGTGATTGAATCTACTTTTCTGCACCTCTGCGTGGAACACGTCCAGATTCAGACACTTCTTCCAATCCCCTTTGCCAGTGGGATCTGGCCCGTAGACATATTCCACTCATCTAAAATTGGTCTGATTCCAGTGCGATGTGAACTCAGCTCTTTGTTTCCACAGTTGATGGGGGTAGCAACTTAGCTACAGTCTTCACCCGAATAGAACGCCCAGTCATTATAGCTGCTGCATTTGGCACAATTTTCAGTCCAGATGCAGCTATAATTGCCGGGCGTTCAATTCGGGTGAAGACGGTAGGCCCCCTGGTATTCGTTTTCCTTGGAACAACTCAGGGAGGACCTACCGTGCTCACCCGAATAGTACGTCCGGTCATTAAACCCCTATTTGGTGCACTTTCCAGTCCAGATGCAGCTATAATGAATAGCCTTCTATTCGGATGAAGAAGGTAGCAGCCTACGGGCCTCTTTTCCTTTCCCCTTCCCAATCACATGCTGCTGCCGCTAAGCGGTCCCTTACACCATGCGGGCATTGTGCTGGTTACTCCAGCTTTCCTGTCTCAAGAGGTTGGGCTTTCCTCCCTCGGCTCCCTCCAATTCACCATAGCCTTTGTTTTAGCCATAGCCTTCACCATAGCTCACGGCTTCGCCTTCTTCTTCGCCTTCGCCATAGCCTGCGGCTTCGCCATAGCCATAGCCTGCAGCTTCGCCATAGCCATAGCCTTCGCCATATCCTTGCAAAAGCTTTCGACTTTGTCTCAGTGTTTCCTGTCCCAAGAGGTGGGGTGTCCCACCCTCTGCTCCATCGCACTCGCCATAGCCCTTGGCCCTGGCCTTGGCTTCACCATAGCTTGCGCCTTCTTCAGCTTCGCTATTGCCGTAGCTCTTGCCTTCACCTTCACTGTCCCTCCGTCTTCCCCCTCTTCGAAATCGTCGTTGGGGAATGGTGCCCTGTCCTCTCTCTCCCCCAAAGAGGCCCCTTAACATTCTGTATACAACCAACCCAAGGTCCCTCTAGGCTCTTGCCCCGAATAGAAGGCATGGTCATTATAGCTATCTTCGTGGTAATTTTCAGTCTAGACATTTGAAGGAAGCTGGCAGGGTTTAGGGTAGGGTTCATGACTTGCTCCGTCAATAACCAAAGGCCAGGGTTTAGGGTTTAGGGTTTAGGGTTTAGAGTCTAGTGTCGAACATCTTCCCCCGAATAGAATGTATGGTCATTACATAGCTGCATTTGGTGTAATTCTCAGTCTACATACATTTATAATGACAGTACATTCTATTCAGGGGAAGACGGTAGGGTTCTGAAATAGGAAATAGGATCATTCATTCGTCAGATCTCATCAAATGCAGTGAATGAGGCATGTTTAAATCATCTCCATGCGTGCTTTATGTAGGGGGTGGTATTCCTCTCTGTGTCCTCCTTCAATACGAAAAAGAAGTATGATACCGATGGACCAGGCAGCATTTGTTTTTTCAAAAACACACTGACACACATGCCCCATCTGTTGGGGGGGGGACCACAATTCAGTTGCTCATCACTGGCAAGCAAGATATACTTGCATTTTACAATGCAAAAGCCCAGGGAATTTTCCTCCTTATTTTTTATAACTAAGCTATATTCTTCTCTCAATTGCAGTTTTCACTACCAACCTACCACTACTCCTAAGGCTATACAGTGGACCCCTGCAAGCATAGCTAC